TAACAGTTTTTTTCTTTAGCGAGCAAACATATCGAAAACATTAGTAATTTTCATCCTATTTTAGTATACATAATTTTCACAAAAAACAAAAAAAATTATTTTTAGATTATGACATAATATCTGTGACTTAAATATAATAAAGATAGCAGCTGCCACTGTTTGCCGGTAATATTTTAAGTTTTACTCGTTAATCAGGCATATTACTTGTAGACTTTTAATGTTTACGAAAAATAATATACATTATGTATATATATTTTAACAAAGACGTGAGTTTATTCAAAAATGCATCTAAGGTTTTCGTCATATTTCAAAATTACAAATTTGGGTTAAGTTGCTGTCGTTAAAAGGCAAAGATGATACGCTTCCGGAAGCACAGGAAACAACCGACAAAATTTATCAAGAAGACTCAGGAAAAAGGAAGAAGCCGGCTTTGAAGTCAGCGTTCACTTCAGCGGGTAAGAAGATAAAACCAGGAACGATAACCCGCTGGAGTAGACTACATAAGAAGATCCACGCGAGAGAGCAGGAGGAATAGAAGCAATGATCTTTTCATGTTTTATATTGCTTTTGTTAGTGGTTTTGTAATTGCTAATGTTTGACGTTTTTTATGTTGTTTTTGTATATTGAATAAAGGTTTAATTACCGAAGTTTGAGGTGGTTACAAGACATCCTACGCTACGGCGATAGAAAGGCGACATTACTCTTACGTTAGAAAACCCGCGTGGCAGCAAACCTCGGTGACAGATCGATCAGGATAGTCACCGCGAACAACTAACAATTAAAAAAAAGAAAGGAAAGAAGTAAAGCAAATTTTTTTTTCTTTACAGTTGCTGTATTTCTGCTAAATCCCCTCGGTTAACTAATTATCACTTTTCTAGCAAAGGTTTCTTATAACTTGATTCGAATGCTTTTCCTCTTATGTCTTTAACTGATAGCATTTTTTCGCCTTTTTTTTACAGTAAAATTTTTTTTACATCTTTAGTATGATTAGTTCATAATGTCGAATCTAAATTGATGCATATATCAGATCTTTTTTTTCTGTTCTATATCACAACACTTGCGAGTAGTTTTCAGCTAGCTTTGAAAACTTTTTTGACAGATTACTCCAATTTTATTCGAGTTGTTTTAATACACCGTTTATCAAGTATTACTGAAATTTTTAGTTTTTCTGCCTGATCTGAAGAATATGCTGCTTCATGATATTACTGGCATCGTACAGTCACTGTAACCAAGTATTCCTAGTAATTGGTTTAGTCGAGGTGATTTCTAGTACTTTTTGCAGTGCTAAGTTTGCTGTTCTCCTTCTTGACGCTTTGTAATTTGTTTTAACCGATATCTATTAGTTGCTTTCTTAAAACCTTTCATTTTTACCTCTTTAAAGACAACTATAATGTTAATTAATTCTTCATATCATTACCAATTTTCTTATTTTGAAAAGTACCAAAAAATTAAGTCTTTTTATCTGTTTAGCAACCTTATTTGTTCAAGCAAAAGATTGAGTAGATCTACATAATAGCTATGCTGAATTTTAAGTTAATTAAACAATAAAAATTGTTAAAATAAAGACCTAAAAACAATAACGAGAAAAAATATTTCTTATTTTAAGAATTGATGGAATTGTCTAAGATTTAGTAAAATGACAGTAAAACTTAAAAAAAAAAACAAAAAAGTAAAAATATTTTTTAGGTATTTATACAAAGTATTGTTGGTTTTGACGCATTTTCGTTAACCACATTTTTTCATATTTTAAGGAAACATATCAGTAAGCAAGCTAACACTTGTAAGTTGAAAGTTGATCATTCAGTCTCTTTTATCAAACACTTATTCAGTAGTTCTGTAATTGGCTAATCTTTTTAGCTTTAATTCTTTCTATGTATTATAAAAACGAAAAGAATATCCAATTGCCTTGTACGAGTGAGGAAACTTTGATAATATTACTCGTTTTGATTATTATTATTATTTTCACTCAAACAATAATTTTATTTTGCAAATAATTTTTCAGACAAGAAGTCCAACTCCTGGTGGCATAGAGGAACCTCCTTTTATAGTGAGTCAAGGGTGTCCTCATTATTTCCAGGGTGTGGTCTTTGGTGGTGTAATTGACCAAACAGCTGAAGCAAATGGCGTTTGGTCTACAGTTACAACTATAATTTTCGCTTGACAAAATCAAAAAAGTGTGAGCGTTTTGTTCTTTCAAAACAATAAATTTTACTTCTTTTTATCTCAGAACTTTTATGTAAATTGTATTTCCAAAAAAAAAAAATGAGTACGAAGAATTTTTGCTAAAAATAAATCAATTTTTTGTGGTTATTTGAATGCTCTTTTGTTTTCAAAACGTTTTTTTGGTGAAGAAGTTGCTGTTGTTAATCAAGTATTAATTAACTGTTGAAGGAAGAAAACTATAAATCTTTATCTTTAGTTGAAAATGTTAATTTTACTTGCATAGTATACACTTACTTGTTTATAAGTTTCAAATTTCTTAAAACCGATTATAGTTCAAATAACTATAAATAACGAAATTTTTTGAAACATTTTATGGCAGATAAAAATAAACAACTTTTGATAAAAATTAGCAATCATTTATAGACATTGAGTGTCTGATATAAATCTGAATAATTTGAAATTACGATTATTACGTTTGATAATCGACGTTGAATAAATAAAAAATTCTTGTGGAATAAAATTAAAAATTTTTTTCTTCTTTTATTACCTATTTAGCAATTTTGGTAAACTAAAGTCTGTGGTGTTTCACCAGTAAAACACCTCAACTTTTGCAGTTTATTGTACTCTAAAAGCGCCTCTTATCGGTTATGCTTTATAATATCTAATTTTCAGATTTCTACTTCTTTTACCTGAACATATATATGACAATTTTTTGACTTTAATTTTCTGGCCTTATTCCTTTCTTTTTTTTTGGTTTGTAAAATAGAATCACGTTTTTGGAAAGGTTGTCAATGCAAACAAAACAAACTTTATTCTTCTTGCAAGATTAAGATTTATAAAATTCTGAAAAAAACTACTTACAGATGAAGATATCGTTGAAAAGGTGATATTATTTTTTGTTTGTATAACGAGAATAACAACAAAGAGCAGCAACAATGGAAGCAACAGTAGAAGTAACAGCAATAAGACTAAACTAATCTACAATCGTACAATCAATATTTATAAACTAAAAAGAAAAAAAATCTGAAAAAGCTATTATCGATATTGAGACCAGTATAAAACAACGTGTATCCGACTAAATATTAACCAGAATGAGAGTCTTTCTATTAATACTGGTTCTAATGAAGCTGAATTACCGTTTCACCAAACGAATTTCTAACAGTCATAAAACTTTGTCCATATTAATTGGTTTTACTTT